TATATATATATATATATATATATATTAGTTATGGTTTTTGGGTACAAATTTTTTTTTAATGAGTTGGTTGCGATCTGTACATATTATGGTTATGACTTATGGGTGTAAAAGAAATTTAGAAATAATAGATACAAAATCTCTTAATACTAGTTTATACATCAATTCTTTAGAGTTGGTGTCTATGATTTTGTTTATGATGATTATATGTATGATTATTTGGGACATAAATGAGATTATGAAAAATTTTGAATTTTAGATGTTTTATGTAAGAATTTTAATAGTTGCATACTTAAATTCTAAATTTCTAGACGACAAATTAATTTTATTAGTTTATGATTTGTGAAAACTAATATATATTCTTTCATCGTTTAAGCTTATTTCATTTTCAACTCTCAACTAATTTTTTTACAATTTATCACGTCATTACAATTTAATACTAATTTTCACAAATTTTATTTTCAAATTCACTCTCATTTACCTCAAAATTCACTCAAATAAATGACAAAAAAATTTATCTTCAAATTCTCTCAAATCTCCTCAAATTCACTCCCTCAAATCCACGGCCTAAGTTTTTAAATCAATTTCTGACTTACTATTTCCTTTTTTTTTTTTAAATGTACTTTTCTTTTTGCGGTGATTATGTATGTGCACGGAAGTAGATGATCTCAACCATGTTAGAACTTAAAAGTAAAATAAACTTACAAGTTTATTCCTTGTATTATATATATGTAATTTCTATATGATGTTTGTTTAGAAAATAATTATGTTTAATAACTCTCCATGAAAATATTATGAAAAAAAATCTTGTAATATAAAATTTCATACTTATTATTGTGTATATTGTGCTTGTTTTCAATAAATGAAATGATATAAATTAATAGAGATGGTATATAAATTGGCGTCGTTACAAAATCACTTTAAGAAAAAAGAAGTAAAGTTTTGGAACTCCTTAACTTATCTTAAAAGAAAACCTCATTCAAACCAAACTGAAAAATTCAAATAAAAATCTGTCATAAACCAAATATTTAAAGGGACTGACAACAGAAGAAATTCATTTACCACAGCACAGTGAACAAAATTTGAATCTTCCTTAAAAGAAATGTCGAGTTTAATGCCTCAAATAGCGTTGTCTTAAAAAGAGAATACATGGAAAACCAAAAAAAGAAGCAAAACAAAAGCAGACAATGTGGGGGCACGTGCATTCTGCCTCTCACGTGCCTCAGTATTGGTCAGATAAATGGTAAGAAAATCAAACTATACGATATGATCAGACTCACTGAAAATATAAATATATATAATTCCCTCTCATTGGAACTCTTCATCACACTCTCTGAGACAGTTTTTCTACACAGTAATAAGTTACACTGTTCATCTGAGCTTTGATGATTATAAAATAGGTTTACCATTTAATTAAACAAAGTGTTTCAGACTACCATAAAAATAAATTATAAACTACCATCACACAGAGAGAGAAAGGAGATTCCTCTCTGAGATAATAAACATGGCTTCTTTCTACATCAAATCCATGGTTTTTCTTATATATCACTCACCAGATCAACCCTCAAAGAGATTCATCATTCTATCAGCAGAAGATTCAGAACCAGTTTTGGAGTTCCTACACTTGAATGTTGAAGTCGCCAATTTCATTGTCAACCATATATAACTCTTTCTCTGAGGTAACCAATTTCTTCAGCTCTTCTTTTTCTTAATCATTTCAACTTTTTTAGTTCAGCTTCACTGTTCTTCACCACTGCATTTTTCCTATCTGCTGCTTTAGTTTGACCTTCAAACTGTGTTCGGTTCAAAACATGCATGCAAACCTTGTTTATGATGTTTTCAGTTGAAATCTGCTATGAAAATTTGAAAGTAGATCTCCATGGATACACATATTACATACATACATACATACATACATATATATATATATATATATATATATATATATATATATATATATATATATATATATATATATATATATATATATATATATATATATTTCCCTACAATACCTTGTATTCGCATTTTGGATCTTCATTCTTCAGTATGCTTTGCATGTGAAACTTTTAATTTCTCATTGTTCATCAATCTTGAATCTTGGTAATGAGTCTTTGATTAGAATGTGAAGGAGTTTCTGTTTTCTGGTTTTGGTTTAGGTTTGGGGGGTTGCAACATGTCTTTTATTTAATACTGCATTAATACTAGTTATATACATACATATATATATATATATATATATATATATATATGTATGTATGTATGTATATAATATTTTATATTGAGAAAATAATGTGATGTGAGTGTAAAATTTTACACTGTCAACTAAGTATAGATTAGTGTATAATAAGATTGTTGATTTTTATATATTTACCTTTTAAAAGTCATAGATTTGTCATGATTTTTTATTTATGAACTGTTTGGAAAAATCTTTTTTATAATCTGGTTTAGGATCTGTTATATTATATTATTTAATTTAAAATGTTGAGATTAATTAAATTAAATAGAGTTGTTAACAAAGATTTGACGTAGCATTTTTTTTATTAATATATAATTACATATATTTAATTTTTTAATGTAAAAGGTGATTTACTATTTAAAAATGTAGTAAATAATGTTATGATGAAAAAACATATTTATTATATAAAAGTCATCCACTTGTGTAAACAATAATAGCTTCTCTGAAAGAGAAAATTATTGGTTATGGTAGCAGTGGCTAGAATGTCACACTCAACCTACTGTTATACTGTCAAATTATTACTCGATAGTGTGTAGAATTGGGGCCAATGATGCAGATTTTTATATAACATTTAAATATATTTTTAATTTTTCAAACTTTAAATTTTATTAATTTTGATTTAATAAACTTTTAAAATTACTAAAGACTGTCTCATTCTTGTTAGTCAGATAACAATATAACATACATTCTTGTTTTAAGAATAGAGATACAGTTTAATTATCTTTTAACTTCTAAAATTTGAACTAATTTCGATTTTTATTAGAAAAATGAACTTGTGGTCTTTAATACTCGATTTAGAGGTTTAAAGTTCATTTTCAGACCGTTTTCAATTTCTAAACAAGAGTTTGAAGCTATTATTATAATAATATTGTTTTGAAATCAAAAGATTGAATCATTTTTTTATCTAGGAAACTAAAACTGGATTAACTTTTAATTTCAGAAACTAAAATATAAAAATAAAATTTACTGAATATATGAAACATGTAACTATTTAATTTAATCATAGTAAGATTAAAATTAATATATATATATATATATATATATATATATATATATTAAGTTTACTGGCAGATGCAGATCTCTTGGGAGAACTATACATTAAATTAAAATTTTCAGGCCACATATTTATTATTTATTATTTTATAAATTTAATGAGCTTTTTAACTGCTCCATATAGAAGAGAAAACTCCAATAGAAATATTGAGAGAGTATTTGTCTTTCACTAGATGTAATAATATTATAAATTAATTCATTTTTCTCATCCATTTTACTTCATTACCCTTTTTATTAATTTCTCATTTTATTTCTTTCTTCTTCCACTAAATCACTTCAAGATAGAGTTACATCTACAATTTCACATATACCTTAATTGTCAACAAATATGTGACTATAGTACACCTTGTTGTATATTTTCCATATATTTATTACTTAATAATTATTATTTGCAATTTTTATTAAGTTTTTTTTTTCTTTTACCGATTCATCAAATGTGTAATTTTCTTTTTCTTTTACTTTTTGCTGTAAGGGCAATTATATTTAGCTAAGTACATTATGGTGAGTTTACTTTGAAAAAAAATCACTAAATAACAATCAATTTCGAAGATTAAAAATATTTAAATTAAAATATTGATCATATTAAATACTATTCTATTAATTAAAAAATATTAATATTTAAATAATTTTTAGTAAAAAATTATACTTAATTTATAAATTAAACTATAAATTGTTTTCTACTATTAAGGTTTTAACTACTTATATTATAGTTGATTCTAATTCACATATTAATTATAATGTTTTATTAATAATAGAGTTTATTTTAAATATTAATACATTTTGTTCATAAAATAGTATCTAAGTTAATTAATATAATGATTATTATTATTTATATCTTGGTAGCTATTTAATAACTTTATTGTAGTGATTGATTGAAATAATTAAATTTCCTACAAGTGATTTTAGAAAGCATTTTTCTTAGGTCTCATGATGAAATCCACTAATTTCTTAGAAAATCATCCACAATGCATATTATTCCAAATTAGCAAAATCTAACCTTTCTGTCTTTAACTACAACTTAAACTCTTTTTTTTTTTTTTACATTCTAAAATGCATGTATAAAAACTTAAACAACTCATTCCTATTTAATACTAACAAACAAGTCAAAAGTAGCCTAATTTAATTCACTTTTAAAATTTAATACTCTAAACAACTATTGAACTCTTCAATTCACTTATGTCAAGTTTGAAACATATTTTCCCACTATTTGGTTCACATAATCTCTTCAATTAATCATTTTTTTATTGCTTTTGTTATTCAAAACTCAACATGAATATATTTAAGATGTAAAATTTACACCCATCAACAAATTTAAATAGCAATTATTAGCTCTAAAACATCCAAAAAGATAGCAATTTAGATAGTAATCGTTGCATATGATTGATTATTTTGAGTAAATAACTTCTTAGAAGCATGGAGATGCTTGCTAATATCCTTAGGAAATTCGTGAGTTTACACTTATTTTCAAGAATTTAAGCATTATATTTTGATATATAATAATAATGCGATGCCATCGACATTGATCATGTTATAAACTTAAAGATGATATGCATTAATTAAATAAATAAATAACATGTGGTCAATTAGTAACCTTTTTCAATACATTTCACGAGATCAATTAAATTATCAATTAATTTTTAACACGTCTTCAAAAATTATCAACACCCTCTTACATATAGACCCATTCATAGCAATAAGTTAAATGAATTCCATCTTTTAAGTAAAATTTTATATTTAAGTAAAAAATTTACACTAATTACTCAAAAAATCCACAACATTATACATGAACTGAAACAAAACAAGTAAGCAAAAGAAACTTTTTTTTTCTTATTTCAAATATTTACTTTATTTTTTTACATTTTTCTAAATATACAATTAGTTTAGATCAAGAATGGTCATCACTTTGCTCTTCCTATATATTTATCATATTGTTCTAGATCAAGAATCCACGTGAATGAGAATCTTTGTGCCAGTTATAGTGTTTTTGTCTTCTGAGAAACATAGTCTTAAACCATATACAAATCTCTTTCTTTCTTCTTCTTTTGTTAAATACATTTTCTTCACTTCTAACATGATTTATTTATTTTTTTTTTATTTTTTTCAATTACTTTATTTCAAATTGCAATTTTTGTATGACATATATGTCACACATGTTGACTAGGGTTTCTTATTTTCCCTTCCCATCTCAATCTCAAAGCAAAAAGAAACTGAGTGACCTTTCAAGAATTAGGCAATTGATGGGATTTTACCTTTTTCTCTGCCATTTCCATTCACATTAAGTTGCAATTGGGCATGAAAAAAATTCAATTTTTTTACTTCTTTCTATGTCCATATAATATGAATCATTCAAGATGCTTTATAATAATAATAATAAATAATAATAAGGCATAAAACAAGAGTCTGCACAGTGCATATAGACAAGAGTAGCAGTTTCAAACTCAAACCAAAATAGGAATGAGAGATAAATTAATTGTTCTGTTTCATCACAATCACATAAAGTATAACTTTTTTATTTTAGGTAAAAACATGTTATCACCACAGTGATTTTCCTAATTTACCCTTTTCGTCTATTTCATTTCATACATTTTTAAATAATTTTAGGTATTTTAAAAAAATAAAATTGATTAACCCTCTAGTTTGAAATGAGTTTTTTGTTTTTAATTTATTTTTATAGAAATTGCATCAATATTTGTATTTACAACAGGCAAAAATAATTATTTATCGAGAGCATCATATTATTTTAATAAAATTATTTCAACAAGTAATATATTCATTATTGTGTTTCATCTGTGTAGAAATCACATTGTTAAAGAATTGATTCCATTTTTCTTTCTTCTGTACCTGCAATGGCTATAACAAGTGCACAACAGAGGTGAAATTCCCTATTTTTCACCTAGAGCAAAAAGTTTCACTCACCAGCAAAAGCTAAAGTGCTCATGCACTTTTAATTTGTTTTTTAAAAAGTATATATTGCACATGTTTTACAATAAATATTTTTCATAAAATCCTTTTTTTTTTTGGAATATCATGAGATTGAATTTTTCAATGTTTGAATTTTGTGTGTAAAAAAAAAATGTACTGACTTTATTCCTTAGATTGAGCTAACTTTGGAAGTAGCAATTTTTACTCCATTGGATTGACCACATTCATTGAGGCACTTGAGTGGTGCTATAATATTCTGAATGGGAAAATGTGCACTGAATCTAGTGGTTAAAAATATGTGTAATTAACAAAAAAACATTGTATTTTTAATAAAAGGTTTATTGTATTAATTACATTCTAAAAAAGTTTATGTATAAAGTTAATTTTACTTTCATCTCTAAAATATTTTCTTTAATTGGAGCTTATTTTCAAAACTATTTTTTATTAGTATTGATACCAAACCCTAATGAAGAGTTTAAGTAAAAAGAAAATGCTTAAACTTTTAGCTTGAAAATGGTAAACATGGATAAAGCAGTTCCATTTTCATCTCAATGAGAACATTATTCAAAGGGACTGTGCAACACAACTTCACACAAACACAAGTACCAAGTCACTGTATCCTTAAACCAAGAACACTACTCAACTATTTCAACCCTCTGCATGTTTCACTAAATATAGCACAAATGCACCAACCTCTCCCTCTCATTTATGATTTCTATGGATGGATTCATATAAATCTTATAATTCAAATCTAACTTTTCTTTTATTTCTCAGTAAGAGTGGTACATGTTAGTGAGATGAGATTAAATTTAATGTATTTTTATAAGCACTTCTATATGAAGAAAATAATGAAATAATTTTTTTTATAGACTTAAAAAAACTGTATTTTTTAGGAAAATTAGCATGAGAAGGGTTGTACGAAGTAACTTATTACAATTTTTGAAAAAAAAAAGTTATTTTATTTTAATTCTTCTTATTTTTCTTTTCTTGAAATGGTAATGAAAAAATTTTCTAAACATGGCCATATTAATAATCTTTAAGAGTTATGTTTAGCAGCAATGCATATTTTTTTTATATTCTTTTTACTATTAGTTAAATTTTAATAAAAGCTTTTTTAAATCACAAGCCAACCCTTTTAAATATGAGCACGTTTTAATTGTTTTCTAATAAGCCATTGAAAAATAAACAATAGAATGAATAAAACTGTGTATACGGATAGCAATATCGTTTTGTTTTTTATTGGATTTAATATATTTTTAGTTTCTAAATATAATGTGATTTGATTTTGATTTCTATTTAAAACTTTAATCATGTTAGATATTTGTATTTTAAAAATGCATGGAGTATTTTTCCTCTAAAAGCATTAATTGGTTTTTGACATACAAATGACAAATCACCTTATATATAATTTATAAATTTTTCTTTTTGTCAACGTTTTAAAAGATTATCGTGAGTCGTCGTTTATCACTAAAAATATCATTAATATATTTGGATGAGAAAGATTATAACTATATTTTTTTAAGTAGAAAGATTAAATTTTTGAAATATATACGAAAATCAAAATTATGTTAAAAGATTAAAAACATAGTTAATCTCTTTTCTTCAATTAGAGCATATTATTTATGTGTACCAATTTTGTATTATAAAAAATAAAAAAAAATGTTGGAATACATTTCAAGTAGTCATTATAAAAGTCAACAAATGGTATATGTGAGTGGATCACAGTGACAATGTATTCTATTTTAAATCACCAAATTAAATGAAACCACAGTGTTCATTAACAAATTCTACCAAGAATTTTAAACTTTTTTGGAAATCTAAACAAACAATAAAATAATACATTAAATGCATGAAGATCACATGTACGTATTTCATACGTACATACACATACACATATAAATATATGTACACAGCCTATGAACAATGAGAGAAGAAACACTGTGATGGTAATGTATTGAGAATAACACTATGGAACTGTTGAGTGAGTGAGTGATTGGAAGAATAAAAGGGGTTTCTTGCATTGCATTGCAGGGTAGAATAACAGCACATTGAGAATGAAGAAGAAGAAGAATCATGGCGAGAAGAAGAACGATGGTGTGGAGAAGAAGCCACGTGGAAGGTTCGTGAAGGAGGAGGAGGAAGAGGAAGGTGGTGGGGAAATGATCAGGTGTTCGGGTAAGCATTGTGGGTCAAGCTGCGGCGGATATATAGCTGATTGTGTTGCAGTGTGTTGCTGTCCCTGTGCTGTGCTGCATTGCTGTGTTCTTGCTCTTGTCAAAGGGCCTTTTCTTGTGGGGAGAAAGTGTTTGAGGTTGGGAAAGAAGAAGGGCAAGAAGAAGAACAAGAACAAGAAAAAGGGACATGAATACGATGATGATGATGATGAAGAAAAAGTGAAGGAGAATGTTTCTGGTTCTGATGTTGTTTTGGAAATGGATAGTGTCACTGTCAATGCTGGTTTTGATGCAGAGAAAGTTTGGAGGGAGCTTTATCAGATTGGCCATTTGGATTTTGGGAGGGTTTCTTCCTCACATGATGATTAGTATTCATTACCATTCACTCAATCATGGAAAAGATTGCTCTTGTTCGTCATCTGGTAAATTTGATCAGTTTTAGGATTCAACAAAATTTTCATCTTTATATATATATATATCTATATCTATATATATAGATAGATATAGATCAAAGTTTTCTTTTTAGTTCTTTTTTTCCACAAAAAGTGTATCTCTTTGTAGTTCATCATTTATGAAATAAGGATTGCATGCTGTGTTAATGTGATGAAGGAACTGGAAGAGTTGGAAAGAGATGATCTTGTTTTGAAGAAGTAAAAGGGTATTATTGTGTTATCTCATAAGGGTCTAAAAGGTTGTTTTTGCCCTAATTTTTGGGAGGTTGAAAAATTTAGTTATGGTAGATTTCTCCCACACTGAATGAATTATTAGGGATTGCGTTGAAGACAGGTGCTTTTAACTTTGATCCGTGACCTTTGTCTATACATTGTTGTCTTGGTTTTGTGCATGGGATCTTTAGAGCAAAGGGCGATGTAACATTTTGTAAGTAGTACAATTAGGTCTTTTTGAGACACATTTTGTTTTGCAGTCTAATTGAGATTGTGTTTGGGATGAGATCCAATGAAATTTGGAGTTAGACCTGTCAAGTCAACTGTTACAGGTTCCATGTGTTAGGTGTAGTTTAACCTTCTCTATTCACTCATTGCAAACTTTTTTGAGATATTTATTTTCTAATTTAATGATTTATCTATAAATGGTAGTAGTGTTTGCATGGTAATATACCCTTTTGAGTGCATATGCTTTGATAAGGTTTGTAAAATTAACTTTGTGTTAAGGATTTTTAAAAAATTTAAGTGTGAAGGTACTTCTTATAAATAAAGAGAAAGATCTATAAATTATTAAGATGTTAAATATATTTTAAAAATTTAAAATATATTATCAAGATTCATAAATTTATTATAAAGATTTTTTTATTAAAAGTGATGAAAATTATTTATGTAATTAATTTAGGTTCATATGATTTATTGTTGTGTCTCCATCAAATCCTCTTTGCCTATCAAAATATAAGTTTGTAATCTAGTAAATTTACAAGAGCAACCTAAATCTTGATTCTTTGTAGACAAAAATTCAATTCAATGTGTAAATGTGTTCTTCAAAATAACCAAACTTTTCAAGAAAAGGTAGAGTTTTTCAACATCCCAAATGAAATATATGACAAATCTCATTTTCCCTTGATCAAGTTTAAGTGAAAGATGGGAGAGGATATGTGATTATGCCAAGTTTCTTGTGAATGATTTGTGAAAGTTAACGTTAAGAAATTGAAATAATGGTAAAGAGGGATATAATTAATGACAAGAAATGAAGAAATGAGAAGAGTAAAGTGAGATTGATTTATATTTCCTTTTGAGAAAGTTAAATTTGAAGGAGAAATGATTCTGTAGCTGTCTCTTACTGAGAAGGTGATAGAGTAATGCATTAAATTATTGGGGGCAACATAGTAAAAAGGGGAAGAAAATAAGGTAATGTACTGGCATGTTTTATGAAGAGGGCATGTCTAGAACTCAAAATGGAAAATAGGATGTCCCAGATTTTGAGTCAAGGAGGCACCTTGTCAAAGACAAGTGATGTACAAGTCAGAGCAATGTTTGGTCCTTAACAACACAACCCTAAACCTATATGTTCTCCTATTGGCCCCATGCCACATCCTTCTCCACCATCTTCCACACACTTCAATAATGGGAACAAACAACAAATGCTCTTCCTATTCATTGTCTAAAAATTAGAAAATTAGAGTAACGATTATTTGATACACCTAAATTTTTTACATTCATTTGATATTATATTTTCTTACATTTTATTCTCTCTTTTTTTAAAAAAAATATAAAAGTTTACATTTTTATGATCATTTTATTCTTGTACTCTGTGTCAAATGAATGTAAAAACATGTTGTGATACCATTACTCTAAAAGTTAATATTTCTTTCAATGTCTAAAAATCTTACAATGACGAGAAGTCAAGGTTTAAAACATAAAACAAATTAAATAATTATTTATCTTTTTATTTTTTAAATATCTTTTAAAGGTAAAATTATGATGATCCTTGTATTTTTAAAATAGACAATATCTTAAATATATGGTGATTGACCGTAATAATGTCACGTACTAAACTTTGAATCAAAATTTTCAACACAATTTCTTTAACTTTCCCAAAGGTTATCAAATTCTTCTAAATAATTTTAAAGACACATTTTTTTCTAAAATATAAAATGTTTCACTATTTGTTTAGTATCAAATACAACTTTAAAAGATTGATTTAGTACGAAGAGACTCCTATAATAAAAATAATGATGCCAAATTTAATAAGTGAACTTTAAACTTAGGATTTGTATTAGTTTCTAACAGTTTTTAAAATGAAATTTATTTTTAGTTTTATATTATAAATTTATTTTATCTTTAATCAACACCAAATTAAAAAAACCCCTTCTATAATAATAATAATAATAATAATAATAATATCAACGTAGTACAATTTGAAATATAAATACTTCATTGGATTCCTTTCAACACAGTTTGTAGTACAATAATCTTTCCCACATTTTCTCATAGAAACGTTAACTTTTTAATTCTTAAAAATACTTAATTTTTAGTAATAAAAGTAAAAACAACAGGTATAGGACAGTTTTATGAAATCTATCAATAAAATAATCAATTTTTTGTAATTTTTAATTTATATAGTATGATAATTAACTTGATAAAATTTTATAATTAAAGAAATCAATTATCAAAATTTTCATTTTTATCATTCATCAAAATATATGGTCATATTAATTCTGGTAATTCCAAGGAGGGATTTTGCAGATAACAAGATATAATCAATAAATGGTAGTTTTATAGGAAACTGTTTTCGTTATTAATAAATATAATAGGGAAACAAAGTCCTAATACGCGATGTATTTGTTAGATGTGTTTATAAAAAAAATTAAGTAATAAGAATGTAAATTTTAACTATTAAAACAGCAAGTATAAATACTTTACATTTTTCACACGACTAGAAATTATTTTGGATATAATTTTCAAAATAACTATCATAAACTCATAGTTTTATTGTATATAATATATACTATGACTACATGATATCCTAAACAAGGTTACTTTAATTAATCTTAAAATAATTAATTTGACTTTTATATTAGTCGCAAAGTATTGTATTATTATAATACAACATGCATTAATTAAACTATGTTACGTTGATATGCTCAACGATAGTTAACGTAAACGTGTTAAACTTATTCTTTTGTCAAAGAAAACATTTTAAATATTTGCGTTGAACATGTTATTTTTCTTTCAAATAGTTGGAACTATTTTTGTGGGTTATTTTTATCCTGTTTTAATTTTTTAAATCAAAGTTAGAAATAATTTATAAAAAATAACTATTAATAATTTAGGTTTTAAAAATTAAAAGGAGGTATTTTAGGAAAAAACATGTAAAATTTACCTTTAAGTTTTGTCCTTTTAACTCTTTGCATGTGATTTTGTGAAAGTTGTCGTTTTGCTCTGTTCTCGATGTTTCGGGCCCCGGCCCAGGAATAAAAGAAAGGACAGCACGACTCGTGGCCCAGGGCCCAGGGCCCACTATCATTCGTACATGAAAACGACGCACCGTTTTTGAAGTAGGGGTCCACGCGTAGTTTAGCAAACTCAGGTTGAGATTGACTAACCTACGCAGGGGTGGTTAATCACGCTGGCGCCTCAGGGGTCGTTCAATATAAGCGCGAGGTCAAAGTAGAAGGAGAGAGCGAAGCGAGTTGAAGTGAGTTGAAGCGAGTTGACTCAGAGATGGGAGACGAGGTGACTCGGGTAATGGTGGCGGTGAACGAGTCTAGCATCAAGGGTTACCCTCACCCTTCGATCAGCAGCAGAGGGGCTTTCGAATGGACCATCAACAAGATTGTTCGTAGCAACGTTTCTGCTTTCAACCTTTTCTTTCTTCACGTTCAAGTTCCTGATGAAGATGGTTCTCTCTCTCACTCTCTATTTTTTAATTGTTCTTTGCTGATTGTGTGAAGATTGTTATGTTAGTGGTGGTTCGATTTAAGTGATTCCTATAATTTCTGTTAGAGTGGGTCCAATATTGGTGAAATTGAACCTTTGCTAATTTGATTTTGAGTGAGATTGATTTTTAAGTGTGTGATTTGATTTAATTTTAAGTTAGTAGTAAAACTCAATACAAAAAGTTCTTGTTTGAATGTGAAACCTAATTAAATTGTTTTTAACTCAAAATCAATTCTTCAACTTAGGACCGATCATGTGAGCATTTAGTTAAAATCATTTAGTTGTAGATTTTAGTGTATGTTTCGATTAAAATTTATGAACTTAAGTTTGGGTGAAACTTGAGTTTGCAAAAAGTGACTCAAGTTTTGCTTCTACGAAACTGAGTTTCCAACAAAAAAATTGACGTGTGATCGAATTTTTAGGGTAATCGAACATGTTATGAAATTTAGTCATTGTCAAAGACGTTGGAAACCCCAAACCAGTTATTTGAAAAAAAGTTTTATGAAATTTAATTTACTCTCCGAATTGAGTTGTGAAATTAGTTAATTCAGTAGATGTTTAGTGATGTAGATAGATGTTACATCACACCACCATGTAGGCACAGGGTTGTTTTAGTTTGATCAGTGATTTCAATGTGGAGTCTTGAGTATGCGAGGGTTGGATGGAGGCATGTTAATTATTCAGAAAAAGAAAACATAATGATTCTACCTGACTTGAGTGATTATTTCTTGGGCGGGATAGATTAAAAAGGAAAGATGTTCATTCATCAAAGGTTGATTTCTAGCTCTAACTTTTTTATGTGTAAAAGGAAAAAGATTGTGCCCTTATTTTACTCAGTATAGATTGAGTTTGAGAACTTTATGATGATAATTGGTGGTGTTTTGTGATTTGTTTGGTCATTTTTCTTTGAATTTGGAGCTAATGAAGTGGGCATTTATGTTTTGTTGTACTGGGAGAAGTGAAAGGAGCGTGTAATCTGATGGTGCTGCTGTTCTTATTCTCTTTTTTTTTTTGCTAGGTTTTGATGAAACAGACAGTATTTACGCATCACCTGAAGATTTTAAGAACATGAAGCAGAGAGATAGAATTAGAGGGATTCATCTGCTGGAATACTTTGTCAACAGGTGTCACGAAATTGGGGTAATGGTTTTCTATTGAACCCCCGCATGCTCTAGTCCTTGTCTTCTTTCCTAGATTACATGCTAAGTGAAATAGGTTTCAAAATTATCACTGTAAAATATCTTTAGGCAGCCATCCAATCATGAACATATGATGACCTAAAAAATGATCAAATCTGATTAGGTATTACGTAAATTTATTTTATTCAGTGACGGTGTGCATGATAAAGAATAAACTATCAATTTTGTCTTTGAATTATTACTTTTTTTCTTCAGTAATTGCTATGGTATTGAAATTTCTTTAAGTAATCCCTAAGAATTGAATGTCATTCATCACTTTAGTCCCTTAGTGGTATTTTAGGGTTCAACAACCAATATTTATCATGATTTTTAGTACTTTTAGGATTACTTGAGTTGTTTATTTTACTTTATGGATAATTTAAGGAAGATATTACAACTTAAGGGCTGAAATTTATTATTTATTAGATCTATTTATAATACTCTTCTCCGCAAGCTAAATGTTGATGTATTTATAGGTGGTC